CCCCAAAACCCCAAAACCCCAAAACCCCAAAACCCTTCAAATTCCATTCAACTTATAATATTAAATTTCCAAATGTCCTATGGAGAAGTCACCACTAACTCCGATCTCAAGCCTGGGACCTCACTCATAATCCCAAAACTCCCTAAAGCCAGTCTCCAGGCCCAAGAAATCCCTTGGACCCTTAACCTAAACGTACTTCTCTTGTTCATAGTCTAGCCTGTTAAGTCGCCACCAACGCCTAAGAAGTCTCTTCGGCCAAAGCTACGTGACAGACTGGTCAACTCAGTAAGACTAGAGTCTTAGGAAGTAGACCTTGACTTTGGTATAGTACAATGAGAGGAAGAAGAGAATTCTGAATAAGACAAAGCATGCCTTCCTGTCTGAAGAGAGTAAGTAAGCTAATGGAGAGCATGCCTGAATACAAGGCCTATCAGATACAAGAAAGGTTTGGATTATAATCCCTAAGAAACATACGGTCGAAAGCATCCTCTTGGAGTATGAAGCACATAAGGAGAAATAGTAAGATTAGACACCAGCATAAGAAAAAACCCAAAAATTTGGGTAATTTGAAGATATTTAAGCGCAGAAGGAACAGGATGAAATCAAAACAGCAGAAAAGAGATAATCCATTTTATAAGCAAAGGAATAAAATTAATTTTAAGATTAAGATTGGAGGAGTTAGGAAGTATAACGCCTGGAGTATCATCTCACAGGCTAGCATGAGTGAAGAGGATACTGAGGTAAAAGAGAGACTCAGCATTTTTATGCCCACCAAAGCTAGCAAATCTTATAAGAGTTCAAGGCAAATTAAAAAGGCAAATCTAAGGTAGACAAAAAGACTAATTTAAAATTAATTTTTATTTTTAGGAAAACACAAGACTCATTTGGAAGTATGGCTTCTAAGAAGCATAAATCAATTGATTTTACAAATGAAGGGATGAATTCATCTCTTAACATCTGCCTAAAAGAATCCAAGACTAAAAAGCAGTCTAGCTTACCAAAATCTCCTAAAAGGTTAAAACTTAATTCAAAGCCATCAATATTTTCTGGGCTGAGTGCATTATCTCCTAAAAAGCGTGATCTATCCCTTGAATTTAAGAAATTTCTGGAGGCTAAATCTCTTTTGAATCCGATTAGAACAAACCCTATCAAGGTAAGTTCTGGAAGGAGGAAGGACTTCAGCAGGAGGACAATTGTGAGTAAACTTCAAAATATTATTGAGAAGGGAAGTTCAGAGACCCAATCTTACAGATCAAAATACAGCATTCCTTCTCATAGAGGCAGGAATTATGACCATAATCTTAAGCTAAGGAATAGTATCAATGGGCCAATGACTGTTCAAGGTAAAGCTTGGTTGAGCATTATGATGTAGGGTACCAGAAAAGCAAAGATCTTATACCTCATAATGAGTTCATCAGAAGCCTTGATAACTCTATGCAAGAGGTTACACAGAAATATGGTTTTGATGAAATTCCAAAGAAGAAGAAAATTACCTTGGAGGAACGGTTTAACTCGTTCGATCAAGATTTTAAGAAGCTTCTTCACCGTGATGCTTACTTTGCCAAGATCTACAAAAATGAAGAACAATATGATAAGAAGTTACTTGGAAAACTTTATTACCAGAAGAAGATGCGAATGACTCAGGAAGAGAGGTAAACTATATAATTGAAAAAATTAGAGAATTTGAGGTCTACAAAAAGTTTGTCAACTGGGCCCTTGTATGAGCCACAGATGAATTCATGATCAAAAAGAAGCAGCTCTCGACCATCAGATCAAGTCCACCCAAGGATAAAGTAAGTAACTTTGTTTTACTGTAAGGGATTTAGTGGTGCTTTTCGCAAGCCGAACGAGACTTTATGGACCCTTAGTAAAAAGATTAAAAAGTAATAATCAATGGATTCAATATTTGTCTTTCTACAGGGGTTTTGGGGTTTTGGGGTTTTGGGG